GTTTTTTTAATTGATTGATGATTGATTCAATCAACTAATTTGTTGATTGTATTAACTTGATTCTTTAGATATTGAAAATTAAATAAATAACATTATGTTAATTTAAGCATACAGAAACGTTGCTGTTGTTCCAGGAAAGATCTTATTTTCACTTTACCGAGTGCTTAGTAGGTAATTTGCAGATTACCTAGATAATCTGAACATTACCTAGGTAATTTGAGAAATGGAATAATTTTTGCAGCTTTAACGGATCACCCTAGTTAATCTGCAGATTAGCTAGGTAATGTGCACATTAACGGATTTCGAGCTTTAACGGTAACATAAACAACAAAAAACAACATGTCACACTGATGATGTGTTGCAATGCCAATGGGAGTAAAAAAATTCCTCTCCTGGTGATTGGAAAAGTCCAACAGTCATGATGTTTTCAGCACAGCAAGATGAGTACATTACTGGTAGATTATCATGCTTGAAAGAAAGCACAGATGTACTTAGAATTTTTTTGGTTCCATGATAAATTCATATCAGCTATGAAGGAAGAGCTGAAGAAAAATAAACTTCTATTAAAAGCCATTTTTCTAATTGATAATGCTCTCAGTTATCCCTCTGACTTGTCTCTGAAATCAGGTGATATATGAGCTATCTTTCACCAAATGTGACAGCTGTAATCCAACCTATGGATCAGGAAATTTTGGAATCAATTAAACATTGCTATTGGCATGCAAATCTGATCTCTCTATTGATAAATATGAAAACGATTCTACCAAAGCTATGATGCAGATTTGGAAAGCAATCAACATGTATAATGTTATTTTCAAACTGCAGAAGCATGGGACATTATGGAGAGTACTACAATAGTGAAGTGTTGGAAAATGCATGGCCTTTGATTGACACTAAGTTGGAGTCTGCATCAAGTGATAGTGAGTCACTCAATTCAGAATTATTTCTGTATGCTGTGTTCATTGATATGTCAGAGGAGATATCAATGAAGGAGATATGTTGCTCGTGATCACACATATTACATATAAACATCGACAATCATAGCTTGTTATATTATAAACACGCCATCTTGTACTAAATTTAATGACAATCCAAATTAAATTTTAAAAATGTCTAAATTAAAAATTATTTATTTATAATTATTAAATTTAATATGAGATGGCAGCATATCTGCCTACCTCTATTCAAATTAATTGATTTCTAATATTTAATTATAGCCTTTACATAGCCCAAGAATTTGGCATATCATTTGGCATCTTTATCAGATATATCTGATTTTTTTGTTTTCTGTAAATTGAATTCACATTCCAGGTTGGTTCATTCCATGCTAGAAGAAAAGATGATGATGATTCACGCTTCTTAACAATGTATATTGTGTAATTTTCTTTGAACAAACATTATACATAAAATATTTGAGTATTTTTTCGGCATGGAATGCATTATCGTATTTTACATTAATTTCTATGGAAAAAATTGTTTTGTTATAAGTAAGATTCTGGAATTAAGTATGTTCGTTAAGTGAGATTTCACTGTACTCTTGTGGACCTATAATTTGCAAATAGATTAAGTTAAAATAAACAAATAGACTGTAAAACTAAAGTAATGATAAGATAATTATATATATTAGAATATGTTTTATTTTCATTCATCATTTATAAGTTTTTTAGAATTTTAAATTGTATAATAGAGCATATACATTATGTAGTTGAAAAATCTTATTTAAAAAGTTGTTCGTTTGAATAAATAATGCTAAAAATATTCTTTTAAAATATTAACTATAAATATTTTTTATTATTAGGCTGAAGATGATTTGCTTGATGAAAGTATACAAGAACAAATAAATGCAGAATTAAAAGCTTTAAGGATTCAAATTGCAAAAAGTCAAGCAGTTCTTGCCTTTCTGGTAAATAATAATTTTTTGACAAATAAGGCTATAAATTATTATGATTATTTTAAAATTTTACCAAATAATCAAACAGACTGCCAGAGTATATATAGAGGGTAATTAGAAAGTCTCAATTTCTTTTTCTGAAAATGGTAATAAAATCAATTGTTTACAAGTTGTGTGAAGCGTGATGATAACTGTCCACAAAAAACCTTTATATGTCAGTGTTGTGTTCGTTACAATATCCACTAATGTTTTCAACCTCCACCAAGGTCTTCTTCAGGTGCTGACTAAGCGGTGTCTCCCTGACTAAGTCTGACTAGTCTCTGACTAAGCTGATATATAAAGGTTATTTGTAGACAGTATTACTCAACAGTGTTATTACTCAAAACAGTGTTACAGTTAGAAGAAATTTTGTGTTAGAAGCATGATGACGCAAGAAAAGAGAATTGATTTGGTTTGTGCAGATTTGAGTGGATTAACATATACAAAAATACCATCAAATCTTCTTGTTCCATAACCTTCAAGAGATCATGACATATGGCTTGGCTTGCAACATAATCCTCCTCCTCCAGTTTTTGCAATACATGGACATGCTCTGTGCATTTCATGAGTTTGTAATGAAGGATCTTCACACTATTGGTTGTGTCACAGTGAGCATCTGGCTTAGTTTTCTGGTCGATGACATAGGCTTTGTGTTATTGTAGTTTCTACACAATGAACCATTTTGAGCAGTATGGTCCTGTACATTATCCACTTGCTTAAATTTATAAGCCAATAGTCTTATATTGACCCTGGTGGGAGCGGCTTCCTGTGTGACTGTCCACCATTTTGTTGTATGTAATTACTGTATATAGAATTAGAACTCCTTTCTTCTTTCTTATCACCCTTCTTCTTTCTGCTTTTAACCCTTTCCTGTCACCTGACAGGAGCACAGGAGTGGGAATATTCGTGGGTCCTGATTGGTGGTTTTGCCAACAGGGACAGGAGGGGGGTCCTGCTCAAAACGATTGTTAGACACAGAGCCAGAAAAACAAACACTTTTGGATTCACCACTGAGGAGGAAATTTAAAGGAGGGAGACTGAAGGATCGTGCGTAAGACAGAGATCAAAAGTAAGAGCCAGGATAGAAAAGGTGGGACAGAGACAAGAAATAATTGAGATATCCGTTCTTGAGAGATTCCTGAGTCTTGCTCTGAGTCTTTCTTCAGAATTTTCTGCATTTTTTTAATTCAAATTACCATAATTGCTGATGATTAATCTTAACTTTAAATGTTAGCATATTTTGCTTTAGGCTAAATTACAAGATTTGATTGATTAAAAATTAGTTTAAATATAACCTCAGCATCTGGGTCTAAGTAATATTGTTTATATACTAATTTTAATTATTATTATAAGTTAAAAGGTTATATTTTAAAAAAGGTAAAAGTTAATAAAACCTTAAAAAACTTTTCAAAAAACGACCACGAGAAAATAGCCTTCTCAGTCTTTACCAATTTTTAAGAAGACTTAATTAAAAACTGTAGACTAATAACTTTTTTCTAAAAAGGAATAAGCTTTATTTAATATTACCTCCAAATGCATTTTGCCCTGGCTATAACAGGAACTCTTCAGCTGATATAACATGACAGTCCATAGCAATATAATTGCTTCACAAACATCATAATTTTGATAACAAATTATCTCACATAAAGATGTATTCATACCCCTAACTACATTATTCCAGCATACCTCTATACTTATGCTGGTATTTAAATTAATAACATTATTCTGCATGACAATTGCATAGTATTTTTTAATTCTTCTTTTTGTGATAGTCTTTTCCTTATATACAATTTTTATGTTATTTATATCAATATTACAATTATGTTCCCAACAATGATGAAACCATGGTGAAATATTATTTTTTTAGTCTGATAGACGCTACATGTTCTGATAATCACTTTCCCAACTTGCACTTAGTTTCCCTCAATGTGTGTAAGAAAAGAATATAATAAAAAGAAGAATTAAAGAACACAATGCAATTGTCATGCAGAATAATGTTATTTATTTAAATACCAGCATAAGCGTAGATGCATGTTGGAATAATATAGTTAGGTGTATAAATACATATAAATGTCTAACTGTAACACTGTGTTAGTGGATAGTGTAACAAACACAACACTGATAAAGGTTTTTTGTGGACAGTATAAATACATCTTTATGTGAGATAATTTGTTATCAAAATCATGATGTTTCTAAAGCAATTATATTGCTATGGATTGTGATGTTATATCAGCTGAAGAGTTCCTGTTATAGCCAGGGCAAAACGCATTTGGAGGTAATATTAAATAAAGCTTATTCCTTTTAGAAGAAAGTTGTAGTCTATAGTTTTTAATTAAGTCTTCTTGAAAATTGGTAAAGACTGAGAAGGTTATTTTCTTGTGGTTGTTTTTCAAGAAGATATTTTAACTTTTATCTTTTTTTAAATTATAAAATATACTGATTTCATTGTTTAAATTTTTACAAATATATTTAATATTATTTTAGCAATCTAAAGGTTCTAGTGTATCACAAGAAGTAATAGAACATTCCAATTCTGAAAAGTGTTTTAAAAATTCTGAAGCCTCAAAAAGTCAAGATAACATTATAGAAGGTATTTTTGATATAATTCTAATAATATAATTATTTTAAATTCTAGTAATATAATTACCATAATTTCTTATGTAATATGGATTATCAACATACTCCATAACCACCAGTAGGTTTTAAAATAATATTTGCTAATGACATGCAAACTATGAGGTAGTAGTATATAGTTTATTCTAATCTTTTCTTTTCACTGGTCAAATTTAGTTTCAATGTTCTTTGTCACAATACCTGCTCAATTAGGTCATGAAGCAGAAAATAGGAAAATGAAGTTACATTACCAAAGTCTCAGGGGCTACATAGAACTTTGCAGGCCACAGGTTGCTCATGAGTAATTTAAACAATTTAGTATTGTCTTGTTAATAAATATCCTCTTACAACTATATCATTATTTATTTAATTTTTTTAATTTTATTTATTTCTCAAAAAGACACTGTGGCCAGATTGGCCTTTTACAAGCATCTTAAAGCAAAAATCAACAAAACCAACAAAAAAAAAAAAACAAAAAACAGGATGCGAGCTGAGAAAGAAAATTACATTCTACCTCAAGTCCAAAAATTAACTGAGAACAAATATCACTGTGGCTTAAGTTTTTTCCATTTTTTTTTAAGATTTCATAACTTGATATGTTACGTAAATCGTTGCACAGACTATTTCAATAGAAGATTAATTGAAAGATCGGTGCAGATCTCCCCACCTCTAGTTTAACTATTGGGAGTCTATATTCACAAATTATACAAGTATCTCGTGTTGATCTGCGACATTCTCCTATACCAATTTCGAGGAAGCTGTTTTCCTTTTTGCCCTTTATATATTTGAAACCCTCCAATAGAATCTGTTTCTTGTAAATTTCACTAATCTTGTCAATATTATTGGTGCGGTAGAGTTCAGATACTGATTCCATAAAGTTTAAATTATAAATTGAACGCATGTAATGATTTTGTGCCATCTGAAGTTTATTAACAGCATATAGAGATGCGGTTCCCCATACAGCAATATCATATCTTATTTTAGATTCAATGCAAGTGTGGTGCAGCCGTTTCAAGAGTGATGTGCTTAAAAAAGCTTGAATTTTCTTATTTATCCCAGTATACTTTGCCAGGGAAAGTGCAACATCATCTATATGTTTATTCCAGCACAGATTGTCATCAAAAGTTACTCCCAAAAACTTAATAGCATTTACTTTTTCTATGTTATAATCAGTTATTTCAATTTTTAGGTGATGCGGATTGATTATTTTATTCCTATTTGCAAAGCAGAGGAATTTAGTTGTTTTTTTTTGTTAATTACTAATCCATTGTTTTCCATATAACTATTTAAAGTTTTTAAAATGCGATTTAAATTTTCCTGAAGAATTACAACGTTTGTATGAGAATAAGTTATCAATAGATCGTCAGCGTACATCAGTATATTCTCTTTTGGTATATAGTTAAATAAATCATTAATATATATATTGAAAAGCAGTGGACCCAAGATTGAACCTTGAGGAATGCCCTTATTTGGCCTGAAAGAGCTAGAGATAATCTGTCCAATTTTTACAAAGTAAATTCTGTTTGACAAGTATGATTTTAACCAGCTTTAGAGGAGTCCCTCTTAGACCAACAGTTTGCAATTTTTGATACAAAAGTTCATGATTTAAGCTATCAAATGCCTTTGAAAGGTCAACAAAAACTGATATTGCTATTTTTTGATTTACCAAGTTGTGATGCTATTGATTGTTTCAAATGCAACAAAGCATCTACCGTCGAAAATCCTCGTTTATAAGCATATTGGTTTCTGTGCATAACCTGGAATCTGTCTATAAAAGTTGAAAATCTCTTGTAAAAAATCTTCTTGAAAATTTTAGCCAACACTGACACTATTATTATGGGACAATAATTTTCAATTTCACTTTTTGATCCTTTATTTTTATATAATGGCAAAACTAAGTTTTGATTTAGTTTTTCCGGAAAGTAACCATTTTCAAAAGATTTGTTTATCATATTCAATAATGGTTGAGCTAAGATATCAGATATGTGTTTTAAGATTTTAATATTTAAGAAACTGATTTCTGGAGTGCCATTTTTCAAACCCTCTATAGTATTATAGATTTCTAAGGCTGTTGTGTTTTCCAAAAAGAAAGTATTAGATATACTAACGTTCTGTGTTGCTCCGAATTGATATTGCCGAAGACGTCTGGAGCAAAGCCGTTCAAGGACCTGTAGTGCTCGGCAAAAATGTCACTAAAAGTGCGCTCATCATTTATCATTTTCCCCTTGTAATTCAAATGATCTATTTTAGCCTTATTCTTTGTCCTGGTTACCTGAAAGGGTAACGTCTTAATACTTTTCCAGAAGTCAGAAGGAGATTTAACATTAGAAAATAATTATTGATTATTGCTTTCCATCTATCCATAATTAATTAACATTTAAATTGATTGAAAAGTTTTACCATTATGTTCATAAAAAGAATCATCTTTTTATGAACAATAATAATGGTAAATGTTAAAATAAAATAAAATGGTAATGTTTATTCAGTTGATCATACCTAGGATCAACTGAATTGATCACAGTTCAGTTGATCCTAGATGGTGTTTGTGTATACATGGATAGATATTGATCAGATCACTATGATTCGTTTGTATACAGGATTTGAATGATTAGAATTAATATTGGATTAGTTTTATTCAAAAAGTATAAGCACCATAGGTGTGGGGTGCATGGGATTCCCATTGTATGGAATCTCGACATTTTGCTGTTTTCCTGAAGTGTGATTTGTGGTTCAATTTTACGCTGAATATCGAAACAAGTGGACTAAGGTTTTATCGCCACTTGCAATCTGATTGTATCTACACATAGTGTTGTCATCATGCTAGATAAACAATTCAGACAGGATGATATGTTTCCTGGGCATTTGCTGATTATTTATTTTTAAGTCAAATATACAAAATTTAAAATTGTATGTTGACCTTGAGGCAGTGTTTGAGGTGCAAGGTGAAGACACAACCAAGCAAAAGCACATTGACCAGAAGAGTGAGGTTAGCTTCAGTCTGACATCACATAGGTTGGAATGGTGGTACCCCCTATCTAGTGCAACAATATCATGCAATTAACAAAAACATGCTAGGAATTGGATGCATCTTCCTAAGTGCATCATCATCTTGCTTTCTGTTGTTTGTTGTTTTGAGTTTGTGGTGATCATTGACTTAAGGTCACATACATCTGTTGTCGTACATGAAACTTGCTCTGCACCTGTCTTTTGGTTGACCTCTGTTGGCATTCTACCAGACAGTATGCAGGTTTGAGTCTATCTATGGAGATAAACACCTCTTTTTGGTGTATTCAGACTTTGAACATCTTGTCCGTTCACTATAGTATGGGGAAAGGTACATCGTATGGCAGTTATAGTGATCGCAGTACAGCATCATGCTGCACGAAAATGTGGGTGCAGCAATGCACGTCCTGAGGGACAAATATCTTCCTTGCGCTGTGGCATCTTGTTGGCGCTATCTAGTGCATCAGTTCCTTGAGCTGCTAAATGAAAACTGTTGTGTTTGTGTCCATTGGTGTAAGGCAGGAATTCGCTGGGTAGTCATAGAGTGTCTTGTAGATGAATTCGGAATTGTTGTCTTAATGTCCTCCTTGAAACAGCTTGCATCCTTAGCAACACTATTGGTAAGACCGCCATCCAACATTCAGTCAAGCAAGCTTTGAATGCAGATTTGAGCATGTGCTACCAGGCTGTTTGCCATAGGGTAAAACAATGTGGTATGGATGTGACTGCTTCCCATTAATTTGGTCAAGGCTTGGAACAGGTGCAATTTGAACTGTCTACCCTGATTGGTAGTAATCACCTTCAGTACCCTGTAACGTGTGGCCCACTGTTCATTAAATGACTACTAAATATGTAGGCTAGTTTCAGAAAAAGCCTTAGCTGCATTAGTTTCATCTTATGCAAGATATAATGATATGCAGATTATATTCAAGAAGCTGTCTACAATTATGCAGTCTCAAATTGGATAAAGAGACTATAGAAAAAAACCAAAGCTGTGGGAGAATATGCAATTGCACTTAGCAAAGAAGACAAGTATTTAATATTTTATTGTTAATTGTCTACTTGGACTTTAGTTATTAATAGGACTTTATACTTTTAGTGTTAAGTGCAATACTGCTGATGAGGGGCATGCTAGCCTGAAACACGTATAATATGTGTACAGAAATTATTACTACAGGTGATATAATAAAGAAATTTTGTTCTTTCCTGAACTAACTCTCAGTACTGTGCCGATCTTTAGACACCAGTATAAAGTCCTATTAATAAGTAAAGTCCAAGTAGACAATTAACAATAAAATATTAAAATTTAAGGACGGTAAGACTTTTACAAAGACAAGTATTTCTTTGTAGGTTTAACATATAGGTTAATTGCCTCAATGGTTAGAGAACATTATGACTTGTGTACTCTCATAACATCATTGCAGTCACTCAGTGGGCATTAATAAAATATGCCACTGTTACAGTAAGTTGGAACTCACCCTTTGTACTTAGTAATTGGACAGAATTTGTTTACAACCCGGATTACTGAATGTTGTTTCATTTATACGAGTATTTTAGGTAAATACTTCAATGTCCAAATATTTCACTAAATACTTAATTACCAAGATTTGGTTGCCCATGTGATAGATGGACAGATTCTTAATCACATGGAATTGGGAGAATATAATTAAAAAACTGTGCAACAGACAAACATAAATTCTATGTACTACCTTAAGAGCACTTTTATATAACTAATGGTACTTTGTCTTTTACTGTCTGTAATTTTGTTTGCATCACATCCTCATGCTGGCAGGAATTTGATATCTGTTGCATATTGTACATGCATCACTGTCTTAATTTTGTTGTTTAAATGAGTTTAATGTTGAATTCAATTTTTAGAATGCTTCTCACATTCTAACTGTCACTAGTAAAGCTGATGATGATCTAATTTAAAACAAAAATGTTCCTCTTTTGTAAATTTTTTACTTTCTTAAA